GGCGGGCGAGGCAGCCCCGCGCGGGCAGCACCAGAACTGGTCGGTGATTTAGGTAGTTTCCTGTTGTTGGGATCCACCTTTCTCTCGACAGCACGACACTGCCTTCATTACTTCAGTTGAAATCGTCTCCAGGTACCTGTGCGCGCGGGGGCCGGGCCGGGCGGGGCATCCAGGCCCTGGTCGTGCCAGGCCTGCGGTGGCAACCTCGGCTTTTCCCCGTGCAGGAGCCGCGTCCCTGCCTCCTTCTCAGCGCTTTGTCAGGCTGCTGGCTTCACCTCCCACCCCGTGCCCACCTGGCCCCGAGCAGGTATGGTCAGGTTAGCTGCTTCTTGGCGGACGCCGGGGGCGTGGTAGGAATTCTGGGCCCTGAGCCATTCAAGGTCAGGGGCGCACGCTTCCATCCTGGGCCTCCCCCCACTCCAGGCCTGTGCCTGGCCAGGGATCCTGCCATTCTCCTGCAAGGCTGGGATACTACCAGTCCCAATCCAGGGTAGAGATCAGGAAAGATCCCTTTGAGAGAGACTCAGGCCAAACTAGGAGGGACACGGCGGAAAGGGGCTGGGATCCTGGCCTTGTCACTTACCCTTCTTTCTGTAAGCTGCCCTCGGCTCCCAGGAGTCGCCTTTGACTCTTCCTTTTCTTCCTCGCTTCCTTCCTCTTTGTGCTTTTTTGTTTTTTCCCTTCCTTTACTTCTTCCTTCTGTCTTCCCTTACCTTTATTTTTCTTTCATCTTCGGTCTCTCTGTGCCTACTTTTCTATCTCTACCACCTCGCCTCCCTAACTCTAACTCCGGGAGGGACCCAGGGCTGGTTTGGGGAGAGTCTGGGGCTGGGGTCTTATTTTTCTCTGCGCGCTCAAGTTGTGGTCGGAATCTGCCAAGGAAGGGCTTGCGTGGGACAGCTGTCCAGGGCTGTGGATCTGGGCCTGGTGTGCTGCTGCACAGACAAGGCCTCGGTTATGATCACGACCGGATGGCGGCGGCCTTGCGTTCTTACTCTGCGGATTGGCAACTGCAGCCTAAGAGATCCGATTAGAGGGCATTGGCGGCGTTTTTGTGTGCCCACACCAAGGGCAAGGAGGCTCTCCCTACCCTAACTGGGCACCTGAGGCTGGGACCTGTGCTGAGGCCCAGCCAAGCTATGTGGAGCCTGGCTACGCAGGGAATTCCGCCTGGAAGCTTCCTCGAGTCTCCTGGGCCTGCAGGTCCCAGCTCAGGCTTTAGTCGCGGTAAGGGAACCCTGGTAGGGCAAAGATTGGTTGCTTGTTTGCCAGTAGCTTCTGTCAGGTTCAGAGTCTGTTAGATATGGCATCCTTGTGCAGAAAGGTGCTGGAGGCAGGGACCCTTCCAGCTCTAGTCTGTTTCAAATAATAGCAGAAAGAAATCCTAAATTCCAGAACCATTGTAATACAAACTTGAGCCCTTGTTCCAAGTTGTAGTCCACCATTGGAAGCCAGTTGAATCCTTACGGAACTGAAAACAATTTTCATCCCTCCCTGGCCCCCAAACACACACACACACACACACACACCCCATCAGACTCATGCCCACCAACCTTTGATTCCCCACCCCACTCCAGCTGCAGGAGCTGTTTCCATTGCTCTGCCTGCGGTCCTGTTATCTGAAAGGCCGGCACACTGCTTTCCCCTCAACTCCTCTGTGCTATTTTCTGGACCAGAGTATTGGATTTGTTTTGGAGGCCAAGGTTTTAGAACTCTTAGGCGAAAAGAGATGGTTTGTAATTATACCCATTTATTATTTTTTTATACACACGCAGTCCCTTTCATTTCCAAAATAAAAGCTGACTCAAAAGCCTGAATATTTTCTCCCCAAATCTCTGGGCTGAAAGGGGATAACGTTAGGGGTTTTTGTTTTGTTTTTTGTTTTGTTTGTTTTTTTGTTTTTGTAATTTTTCTCGCCGTCTAGGCACAAGTAAGTACTGATGAACACTCAGCACCTGCTGATTATGTAGTAACTGTCCTATTCTGGGGGCCAAAGCCATTTAAAGGAAGAGCCTTTTTGTTTTAAAAAATATACTAGTAATAATTTGTGTCTTCTCTGGGCACAAAAAGTCGAAAAACAACAAGGCGAGTCCAGCCTTTTCGCAGACAATTACAATTAGGAGCGAGGTTTCCTCTAGGGTTAATATTTCTTAATGAAAATCTTCATGAAAATCTCAGAGGCACCGCGAACTGCCCGATATTTGGGACACACCGGGCCGCGGTGGGGGTGGGGATAACGCGGAGGAATTTACAGGGAAAGGAAAATATTAGGGGGGAGGAGGCTGAGGCGACCAGGACCAGCCACGTCGGAGTTCACTGTGTCGGCCACTTCCCTCTTCCGGCGCGGGCGGATAAAGGGGCACCCAGTTGGTCTCCGCCTGGCGTCTCAGCCTCGCCCCGAGGCAGAGCCTGGCATTTGAGGGTCCCCGTTAGGGACAGGGATGTACAGGGTTTGGGGGAGGATTACTGGAACTGTTGGGGAGAATGAAGGCAGAAAAGGGGGTGGAAGCGCCCTCGCCGCTTGCCCTCGCCGCCAGGGAAGTGGGTTAATGAGAAACACACTCTTGCAGGCACAGTGTTCACACGTGAATTTAATTACCCCGTTTTTAGGAGTCGCTGCTTTCCGTTCGGATTTGGGGGTGGGTATTTTCTTCCAACTAACAGAGGCAGAGGCCTTTTAACTTACCCCTTAAAGACTCCAAGGGGTGAGAAATACCTTCCTCAATTTGGCCAAGCTAAAGGATGGGATTAAAGTCAATGCCCCGTGCCCCTCCCCGTTTTAATTTCTAGCCCTGGACTTGAGCTGCCGTGGCCTGCCTAGCTTTGGGCCTTGTGACTCTGCAGAGTCGTCTGGCCTGG